TGACCAATTTTGTTAAACAGACACATGATTGGCCATTATTACTGATTTAATGAAGCAATGTTATAGACCAGGTAATACCGGCCAGGCCCTGGCATGATCACATCAGCACAGTTGGCAAATCAAAAGCTTGAGATCTAAGAGTATTGCAGACTAAATAGCACCATTTAAAAGAGCAATAGGTGTGCAGAAGCAAGCAAAGGTCTGTAAGCCAACTGTACAAATCATGTTTGTGCTTCAGTATTGATGCAGACTTCACTGAACTGAGATTTTTTTTTCTTTTATCAGTGCTTTCTTTTTTCTCCAGTGCATAAAAAAAAAGGAACGACTTCTTGATTTCTGTTTATTTGTTCAGATTAAGAATAATCATAGTACCAGAGCTCCAAATGCATCTGCCTTAAGTTCAACATCAAAATGGAAACAAATGAGGGAGCCTACTTAGGATCACAGGATCATAATTCAAATCAGAAAGGGCCTCAGGAGGACATCTAGTAAATACTCTACCTTGGTTCATCCCTCCTTAATCGCCTTGGAGGAGAAAGAAAAGAGTATCATTTCAGTGTGTCCAGGAACTAATAAATGTGGGTTATGATAGATCAGTGGACAAGTGCAAGTTCCTGTACTAAACATCAAAAGGGTGTATGTGTGAAAGAAAACAGACATCAGGCCACAACATTGGGTTAGACCCGAGTGCTCTTCAGCAGCAAACAGCTGGGTTCATCTCCTCCCAGAAAGAGATACTCCTGGGATTCAGTATCTTCTCAGCTCACACAATATATGGGCTTGTTGCAACATGTACAAAAGATGGCCTGCTCTGGATCACTGAGCTTTTGTTACGCAGCAGCAAGTTTCCCATTGTGAAATGCAACTGATTTGCAGCATCCTGCCAGGCTCTTCAAATCAGAAGTATTTAACACGTCTGATGTTTTAAAATACTTCCCATAATAGACACATTTGACCTGAAAATGCATTCCGTAATTGTCTCCTCCAAGGCCTCTCACATGTTTCATTGAACCTCATGGTCCTGATCATGACCAGGGGAACAATTGACTGATCCCAGAACAGAGCATTCTTGCAACATACTCCTATGAAAATGTGGATTTCTGTCTAACTGAATGAACATTTCTAAGAGACATTTTGTATGGGAAGCCTCAGAACTCTTGAATCAGATGTTCTCCTTCACACACTTCAGCACAACTAACGAAGTGACGACTTTGTACAATTTTCATTTTCAGTTACCCTGAAACAATGCTGAATATTCTAATGCTAAAATAATAATCACTTCTGTAGCACATTACAGCTATTTGCACAGCACCTAACAAGTATGATATGACATGAACTACTGCCTAGGCTCAAAAAACATTTTTCAGAATTAAGAATTCCTGTATGGCTCACTCACCATGTATTTTATTTTATTTTATTTTATTTTATTTTATTTTATTTTATTTTATTTTATTTTATTTTATTTTATTTTATTTTATTTTATTTTATTTTATTTTATTTTATTTTATTTTTCCTATAGGGCACTAAAAAGAGAATCTCCTTCTCCATGGGCCTACTTAGTATTTACAGCAACCATGCGTTTACTGAGGCAGCTTAGTAACCTTAGATACCTCTGCCCAGTCTGCTGCCTTTGTCCAGGATCTCTAGATGCCTGGGAGCAGCTCAGAGGCACCAAGAAAATGGCAACGACACAGAAAACCCAATGTATGCTGAGCCTACTCAGAAAAGGCTCTGAACAGACTCAGAGAGACTAGGTATGAGGAAAATCCCCACTGAGCTGAGCAGAGGACTGGAAGGATTGTGGACTCCGTGTTAGTGTAGATTAGTGTAGATCTCCTTTCCTCTAGAGCTCTCCATTGCACCTGGGAACATTTGGTGCTTTGGATATTAAAGTAGTTCCCACCTCCAGCTCACGGAGCAAGAACTTCTGTGGGTTGTCTCAGGGGCAGTGCATTCAAAGAGACACTGACATGACATGTGTGTCTCTTTGCATAGATCCAAGTCATTCCTATCAGCCTGGGAAACTGCAAATTGTGCGGCATCAAATGTAAAAAAGGGGCCTTAGCAGCTCCGTTCACACATCTTTTCTAATGCTGTATATTAAAGCTGTGGGTGACTCAGGCTGAGTGGGAGAACCAGACAGGTCTGAATCACCATTTTCCTCATCTCTGAAGCACTATTATTTCCACACAAATAATTTCAGGTCTTGGTGGTGATCACAAACCTCATAACCCTGACAGAGCTAACTGGCTAATGAAAATTCACAGCTGCTTCATGTTTGAAGGCACTGATTCATGTAAAAGGAAATTGGTTAATTCACCTTTAAATCTGGGAACTTGAGAAGTATTTGGATAGACAGCAAGTTCTACTTCATGATTTCACAGAAGTTATGTATTACTCAGTTCCTTCCATTGTTGCTCAGACTGATGCATGAAATAGTTGAGAAATGCAGCTGTGGAGTCTGACAATATTCTTTTTTTAAGAAAGATCAGCTCATAAAAAGAATACAAGCTCAAATACAAGTCAATAACAAGTAACCCCTTTGTAAACAGCAGGATCAGAATTACACAGAAAAAAAAAAGGTAATCAAAATTTCTCACAATTGGTAATTTATTCCTTTACATCACACAACATACAGTATTTCAGTTGACCGAACCCAACTGAAATCCATAATAAGAATAAAATTGAGTTGTAATCCTTTTATTAGTTGCCCGCTAGCTGCTTTCATTTACAAAATTTAGAAATAGGAAAATGACATAAGAGCCATTTACTTATTTATTTATTTATCTGTATGTGCAACTTTATGCTTTATGCTAATAACATATTTTGGGGTTAGGGAAAGTATTAAAGAAGAACAAAATACTGTCTTCGTGATAGAAAACTGTGGATGCGTCTTCCTTGGAAGAGGCTCCAGCGCCTGTAAGAACAAAATGCCTCCTCTCTTGACAAGACTGACTGATTTAGAAATTGAAAGAATACACAGAACACAGTGGGCTCCATAGCCCTTTGAATACACCCAGCCCAGGGAACCCCAGTCCTGGTGACGCATGTTTTCAAAGCAAAGCACTCGGGTGCTGCCTTCACTTTCCTTGCTTTGCACAAAAATTCTTGTCCAGATTTGGCAGCACTTGAAGTTACGAGGGACTGGCAAGGTTAGCACTGCGGATCCGAGCACTGATTCTGTTTTTATACGTTTACAGGGTGGAAATTACTCAAAGGGCATCTGCCCTTGCCCATGTTCCCTCAAACCGCGTGGGTGCTCATGGGGCCGAGTGAGCCCCATCTCACAGTGAACTGAGGAAGGACCTCTCCTTGTGCCTGGGACGTGTCCCCCAATGTCCTCAGGACACTCAAGGGTCAACACAGCACCAGGGCAGCTGCGGCCCGTTGACTGGGCTAACCAAAGTCCTCAGAAACAGGGACCATTCACCTGGGTGAGCTCTGCGGAATTATGGAAAAAAAAAGAAAAAAGATAAAATTATTTAAAAATATATATTGAGAAAAAAAACATTTATCTAGGAAAACAATGAACTTATCAGGCTGTAATATTTCCAATCCTTAGTTTTCAGTTCCCACTTTGTATTCCTAATTAAAAATTTCTCAAAATAGTGAACTTATCTGCATCTTCATAAAGAAGATTGTGCCTACTAAGATACTACAAGGTATGTGATTTTTGGTTTGATGTCTGTCTTCCACATGTTTATTCTGTCCCTGTGACTGGGCTAGTTTCTTGGGGTTTATTATTATGTGCAGAGAAGTAGCAAACAAGGCATGAAAGATATTCCAAATAGCTCATCCTGGGAGCATCACCTGAAAAGAGCTTTGAATGTCTGAATGTCTGAAAAAATACCATTGCAATCGTGGTATGGTAAAGAAAGGCAGTTGGGTGCTGCGGTTCTTGGACAAATGGATTTGGATTACGTTTCAGTTGCCAGAAGCCAAAGAGGATCCAACCTACCCGCTTTGGTTGCATGCTAACAGTGCATGGAGAGCAGAGCAGGTTTGACCTGTGGCAACCCTTCGTGCATCTATTCTTTTATTATTATTATTATTATTATTTTGGTAAGAACTTCTTTACTGTGAGGGTGACAGAGCCCTGGCACAGGCTGCCCAGGGAGGTTATGGAGTCTCCTTCTCCGGAAATCTTCCCAACCCGCCTGGATGCCACCCTGTGCCACATGGTTTATGTGTCCTGTTTGAGTGGGGGGGTTGGACTAGATGATCTCTAGGGGTCCCTTCCAACCTTGAACATTCTGTGATTCTGTGAATAAGTCTATGTTGCAAAATGGTGGCAGGGAAAATGTGAAGCAAAACAGAAGCACCTCTTTTTAAGGCCTGGGGAAAAGAGCACTAGGGCCGAGTCCGAGCGGGGGGTCACCTCTGTACGGAAACAGAGGCTGTGGAGAGAGCTGGGCGGGTGCTGCCAGCCGGCGGGGCCAAAACACGAGGGCGGCTGTACGCGCCCGTGGGACAACACGGGTCTGTCACGGGGCGCAATGCGCTCAACGGGTGCGGGTGCCTTGAGCGGCGCCCCGCTCCCCCGTGGGGACCCGCGCCCCACACCAAAACACAGCGCCTGCCCACAGGGCCCCCAGTGGGGAAATTAAGGCCGCGGGTGGCACCCCCCGCCCAGGGCCCGGCGCGGGCGGGCGGGCAGCGGCCAATGGCGCGGCGCGAGGCGGGAGGGCGGCGCAGGAACCGGGCGCCGGTGACAGCGAGCGCCCTCCCCCGCCGCCGCC